AGAAGCTGATGATCAGAGCCACAATCAGCTCCAGATCTTGTTTTTGCTGACTGTATCGAGCTTCTCCATCTCTGGCTGCAGTGAATATAATCAATCTGATTTCAGTATTGCCATCTGGTGATGTCCATGTGTAGAGTCGCCTTTTTTTGGGTCTTGGAAAAGAGTGTTTGTGATGGCCAGCTTGTTCTCTTGGCAAAACTCTATATAAGCCTTTGCCCTGCTTCGTTTTGAACTCCAAGGCCAAACTTACCTGTTGTTCCTTTTATCTCTTGACTCCCTACTTTAGCATTCCAGAAGAACATCTTCCTTTGGTGTCAGTTCTAGAAGGTGTTGTAAGGCTTCATAAAATTGGTTAATTTCAGCCTCTTCAGCATCGGTGGTTGGTGCATAAACTTGGATTACTGTGATGTTGAAAGGTCTGCCTTGGATTCGTAATGAAATCATTCTATCATTTTTGAGATTGTATCCCAGTACAGCTTTTCCCACTCTTTCGTTGACTATGAGGGCTACTCCATTTCTTCTACAGGATTCTTGCCCACAATAGTAGGTATGGTAATTGTCTGAATTGAATTCGCCCATTACCGTCCATTTTAGTTCACTGACGCCCAGGATGTCAATGTTTCTTCTTGCCATCTCCTGTTTGACCACATCCAGCTTACCAAGATTATCTTACATTCCAGGTTCCTATGCAGTATTTTTCTTTGCAGCATCGGACTTTCCTTTCACTTCCAGGCACGTCTGCAGCTGAGCGTCCTTTTTGGTTTGGCCTAACCACTTCATTAGCTCTGGAGCTACTTGTACTTATCCTCCACTCTTCATCAGTAGCATGTTGGATGCCTTCCGACCTGAGGGGCTCATCTTCCAGCATCCTATCTTTTAGCCTTTTGTTTCTGTCCATGGAGTTTTCTTGGCAAAGATACTGGAGGGGCTTGCCAGTTCCTGCTCCAGGTGGATCGCATTTAGTCAGCACTCTCCACTATGGCCTGTCCATCTTGGGTGTCCCTGCAGGACATAGCCTATAGCTTCTCTGCACTACTCAAGCCCCTTTGCCACAACAAGGCAGCAATTCGTGAAGGGGCTGGAAGATATACGTTTGGGCAACCCTGCTTGGCAACAACAAGTTAGTCAAACCATGCAAAACAGTTATCTAATTTAAAAAAAAACTTTTAAAATAATTGTTTCAATATAACTGTATTTTATAACAGTTTTGCCTAAGCCTACTGATATAAATTTTACACTTCACCGAAAAGGTTACTTTATTACAATCTTTCACTAAAACCTGCTTCATCCATTGGGCCACCTTTAGGGGTACTAGCATAAGCACAGTGATGTTTGAGATTCCTGTCAACACTAAGTTATATTGAAAAAAAAAAGTATCTACAACTTTTTGCAATGTCTGATATTTCTATGTTTCCTTTTCAGTTTTCAAGAGAAAAACTGAAAAATACAGCTTTTCCTTGAGGCACCTCAGTATTGTATGCACTACTAATACTATGCAGACACTATAAGCACTGTAAATAATTGTTACAAGAAAAGAGTAGATAATTGAATCACTAAAAGCACTCCTCATACATAGCACTCCATCCTAGAGCAAACCCTGTTCCTGTCCAGACTGCATGAGGAAGATACAGCAGTTCTTCTCCATGACTTGTGTTTGAAGCATCCAATGAGCCTTGAGGGGCCCAGCCCTAACCAAAGTTCAGGGTTAGGAAAACCTTTGTTATGCCATCAAAAGGATGAGTGTTAGCAGCCCTTTGTCTAAAAGAGACAGAGAAAGGCAAATGCTTCAAGATGCCCTGAGGTGAAAACTCTTATTATTAATTCCATGCTATATATTATAATTTCAGAACTGCAGTGTTGGAAGGGACACTATGGATCATCAAGTCCAGCCCCTCTCTCAAGGAGGCATAGTGGGGAATCGAACTCCCAACCTCTGGCTCCGCAGCCAGATACCTAAGCCACTGAGCTAATTCTTCAAGCTTACAGTCCCCATCCTGGAACTTTAACTTCAGATCCTACAGCTTTAAAAAGCTGGACAGGATGCTTTGGGGACTCTGCTGATACTTTCCCATCCCAATTTCTGTCATCAGTAGCCAGACACACTTCTGGTAAACTTGGAAGAGTGCCTCTTTTGCAATATTAGCTGGCCTTGGTTTTTCACGTAACTCATGCTCTGCAAGAGTATTTTTCTTTTTGGACTGTTTTTTTTAAAGTATTAGTTTTTATTTATTCTAATCAAGAGAAAGGTTTCATTTGGCGTTCTATTTGTACAGTACATGATTATATGTAGCTAAAATAATAAAAACTTTCTGATCATTGAGTGATAGCCGATACATCTTTATTTTTCCATTCTTCAAACAGAGTCTTTTGGCTATGATGGCCAAAATCCCATTCTGTGGGCATGCCAGCAGAAGGAAAATAGCATAACTTGCAGCAGCTAATTGTAGCTAATTAACAAGTCCTTATGTGGCTTCTTCACTGCCAGTTGAGGGGCTTAGTGCCCAATTAAGAAGCTGAGTGACGACTCACTAATTAGTGGTAATTAGCTGCTGTGAATTACACCATTTCTCTTCTGCCAGCATAACTACAGAACAGGATTTTGGCTGTTAAATGACTGTAAAATCCAGCCATGTTCTTCCCCAGTTATGTTTCAAGTGTCTTCTTTTTTTCTTCTACTTCTTTTTGTCTAACTAGCACAGTAAATTCCCAAATGAGTTTAGACTAAGATTTTTAAATGATGAAAATACAAACAATATAAACACAGCAAAATGACTTTATGAAATACACCCTAACAAAACAGGGCACCACTAAGTGCATCTGCCTCTCCCTTTGAGCTAAACCAAGCTGCCCTGGAACATTCATTGTCTACACCAGTAGCTCTGAAAGAAAGAGGGGACCAAATTCTACTTGTGCCACATGCTAATGTTTCAAAGAAAAAAAATACTTTGATTCAGTAAAAGTTTATCCAATACATTTTGACTGAAAATCTTGAAGGGAAACTAAATGTTGACAAATATATTAGCCATCTGTTCCAGAGACCAGCCAGCTGGAACAAATAATTAAAAATGGGGAAGCTGGCTAAAAAAACTTCAGAGGAGAAATTATGTAGGTAGTAAGCCATGAAATGTGCTCCAGATTTCAAGAAAGCACGTATTTTAAAAAAAGCAGTGATCCAATATTCTTCATCCAAAAAGAAAAATAAAGTGAGATGTGATATTCAACAACTGCTTGAAGTGTCTGGAAACAAAAGTGGATAAAAGTCAATGATTTTTTTTAATCAACTTGATTTAAATCAAAACTATTCTGCTGGAATTTTTTCTTTCATTACAAGACAAACCCTAACACATGTATATCTTTAATACAAAATGTTGGTATTATAACCTCTAGTCATAATTGCTTGAATGATTACACTGGCCATACAAAGCATGAGTCAAATGTTAATTACCTCAAATCTGTAATTAACCAAACACATATATTTCAATTTAAATGTTCAACCGTTAACAATTTTACTATGCAAGATTAGTGATAGCAAAAGGAATTAACCCTAATTTTTCTCTCTCTTTCTGCAATTTTCCATCTTCTACATAAAGAAGAAAATTTAACAAATTAATTGTTGTAGAGGGGAATGTTCTCTTTTTGAGTGTTCCTGCCAGATAATTCTAATTTATTATTATATATCAACACAGAGCAGAAATGTATGGGCCAGAATTGTCTATTACTTATTCTGGGTAACAGTTATTTGCCTGACTTGATATTAAATCAAATTAATGTTTCCAGAGTACAGCAACAGATTATAAAAATGTCATTCTGTGATGTCATTGCTATGCAACAACCTCCAGTGATAAGAACAAAGCATTTTAGTGTGTATCCAGAGGTATTTCTCTAGACAACACACTGCTTTTCTGATCTTGATCACACCTCTAGCAGTCACTTCCCTCATCAAAAAATAAAATAAAGCTGTTGGTGTACACTCAGGTATTCTGCTTTCACAATGGCTGAAATCTTGTGGCACTGCTACACAAATTGCCTCAAATTAAGAAATCTCCATAGACATTATCTGTTGCATACTAAGTCATGCAACTCTAAATACAACAGCCAATTTCAATGGAGATTTCCTAAGTTGAGGCAATTTGCCTAAAAGTTACCCCTTTTCCATAGCAGTACAACAGGATTTCAGCCAATGACTTAGAAACTACAAGCTATAACTTTGGTCTGCTACCAAGATACTGCCATTTTAAAGTTACTTATTTTATAAATGCCTATCTGGCCCTTCAGTGTCAATTAGGTTCACACACAAGTGGACTTCCATGAGCTTCCAAGAGTAACTTTTTCCTCCCGCCTGCCGATAATCTAATTTCCAGCAGGGTCCAATAAAAGGCACTGTTTCTATGCAACACAGACAAATGGTAAAGTCAGAACATAAATGGAGTAGGAGAGGCACTACTGTACTTAAAAATACTTATATGACATCAACAGCAAAATGAAGCTTCAGTCAATTTGTTTAGGCACTTTCCATACTAACAAAGAAACATGTATTTAATAGAGTAACCTACCTTCTTTGTTGAGCCATTGTTTTCTTTGTCTATAGTGAAGGAGTTTGTTATGCACATATGGCAGAAGAAACTTGACACACCAGCTTTCCACCCCAAGTTTGTTTTCTACCAGGACTATCGGGCTCCGGTTATATCTGGCTTCAGGACAGGGAATTAATCCAATTTCATCTCTTAAAACAAAAAAGACAAGTAAAGAAATAATTAGACACCTATTTTCTCCTTCTGCTCCTTATTAATCATATGTTATATCTGTCCATTTCTCTTACTTTGGCTTATCTTTTACAAACCCACTTATTCTCAAACCTCTTTCTTTTATCCTTCCTGTTTGGTTCTTGTTAGATTTCCAGTAGAAAAACAACTAATTTGAGAATCTACTCCTATGCAAGCACAATCCTGTACATGTTGACTTGGAAAGAAGTCTCACTTTTTCATGTTCTGGTGTGTTTATGACTTACAAAGCTACAGTCCTGAACATACTTCAGAGCAGCCCCCACTTTATTAAATAGGACTTATTATCAAATACCGTATTTTCCGGCATATAAGATTACTTTTTGGCCCCAAAAACATGCCTCCAAATGGAAGGATCGTCTTATATGGCGGGTGCACTTCAGTTGGGCCAGGAAGGAGCCGCCACCACCGTTGAGTAAGTGACGCGGGGTCGCGCCGGTCGGGGAGGAAGGCAGGCGGGCAGGCAGGCAGGCGGTCCGGATGGAGGGAGGGAAGCAGAGCCAGCCATGCCTGAGTGGCTAGAGTCCACCGCCGGACAGCCGCTTCCCTCCTCCCCCTCTGCCGCTGCCCGCCCACCTGCTTCCCCTCCTCCTCGCCCTCCTCGCGGCTGAGCCAGCTGCCCACTCGCCCACCTACCACCGGACAGCCACTTCCCCTCCTCCTTGCCCTCCTCGGGCGGCCATGAACTTCCAGGGCGGGCCCGGGCAGAACACCGGGCAGCTGCTGCTGCAGCACAGCCGTCCACTCTATATTTTGAGTGGAAATGTTGGGGGGGTCGTCTTGTATACCAGCAAATTAAATAGGACTGAGCTATTAACTGGAATAAGAAATAAAGTATCTCTCCTTATAGTGCACATACTCATCTGTAGGTTAGAATCTGAAAACAATCTTTTGCTAAACCATTTTGTAGTTTCCATTTATTTTTACTTACAAATAAACCTCATCAATTCAGTGGGGCTCATGTTTTTATAAATAATACTTAGCATTTTTAATCTAAGCAATCTTTATTTTTTCCAGTGCTATTTGCTGAAACAAGATATAGCCCACTTTTTGCTTGATCCTCGTGACACAGTGGCTAAACTGCTATACTGCAGCCAAAACTGTGCTCACAACCCAGGGTTCAATCCTACCTAGCTGGCTCAAAGTTGACTCAGCCTTCTATCCTTCTGAGGTTGGTAAAATGCATACCCAGCTTGCGGGGGTGGGGGCAATGTGTGGCCTACATAATTGTAAACCACCCAGAGAGTGCTTTAAACACTATGGGGTGGTATAAAAGCAGCACGTTTTGCTTTTTTAAAATTATGTTGGCACAGAAATTTTTGACTCCATATGCAGCTAAGTCCTTAAATCCATTAATCAGTTCCCTAGTAGGAGAGTCACATAATTTATTCCATCTGTTTAAAAATAAAAAGCATGTCAGGACTTGAGCACCCAGGACTAGGTGGCATATATATATAATCTCTAATCCACTTTATTCTCAGAAAAACTCTGTAAGAAAAACTAAGCTGATAAATCACTTGCACATTCCAGACACTATATTAGTCCCCTAGATCACCCTGCCCCCAAATCAGGAACAGAAATCAACAGATGGCAAGCTGGAAAAGAAATTGATAAGTGAAGGAATTATTGGAAAGCTGAGCCATTATTACTACAACACAGGAACATACAGCTTACAGTTCACAGCTGCTCCCTGTGTGGCCCCTGAAATGAGCAGTCCCCAACCTGCTTTTCTCCACAATGTTGTTCTCTCAGGCAAACGGTGCTTCCTGACTTTCAAGAATGCTGTTTTTCCACAACAAGGAGCAGCAGGAAATAACAGCTTTGGTGGCTGTCGCTGAGGGATTGCAGGGGCTTCCACCACCACCCTCCAGTATCTACAGATCTCACTAGGCAAAAAGGACAACTTTAAACTTCCCCAGCCTTTCATACTGAGAAAGGGGAGTGGGAGGGAGGACATGGTGCATTTACACTTATGACCCCTTTCAATAAGCTATCACCAGATATGGGGTCACGAAGTCAAAAAAAAAGACAGGGAATCTCTATTACAGCACAAACCAGTTCAGCCAACAGGAACAATCAAAAGATGTTTACACTTGGTTGCAGTCTTTTCAGATTTGTAGTCAAACAGAGAAAGATGTTCAACTGGTGAATTAACTGTACAAAAGACAAATGGCTTATTATCTGAAGGGGGCAACACCAACAGGACAGCTCCTTCGTTTGCACCAACAGCCAGAGAGGCAAATTGTAATTTGCACCAAGAAATTTTACTTCCTTTGTACTGATAATTGGAAGATGATAGGGAAACACAGCAAAATAATTTGGGGCCTCCTTTCATTTTCTTAAATTGGTATTCCATGGAACTAAAACAGAGATTATAGTACTGTACTCAGTGTCATTGCTATTCTAGAGTCATGACCCAAAGTAAACATCATTGCCCATATTAAGGACATACAATCAAGATTCATTACAACCAAAGAGTGCATTTGGAAGCAGCAGATTATAAGCAAAAACAAACTGAGATTAAAGAATGCACTTTGCTGAAATGTTAGCAGAAGACATTCCCTTGTCTAAGATGCAGGTAGGGTAACCACACAACGCCTCTACAAAGCATAGACATGCAACAGACTTGCACCTGAAGCCTAGTTGATTCCTTAGTGATGGCTGCAAAGTGAGCCACTGTAAAGTCACACCCTATTTCCTCTTTAGGCAAAATACTATAATAGGGGTTGGACTATGGAGATTTTCCATGTCTTATTAAATAAAACATCTGCTGTCCTCTCATTTTTCCCTTGCCTTGTAAATTAAACTCATTTCGCCCTCACACCTCTTCTTCTTTCGTTGCCTGCTTGCTAGTCATTCCCCAGACCTTTTCTGACATCACTTCTACTAACACATTCTCACTCTTGTTGACTCCTCTCTGATCTCTGCTGTTTTCTCTCTTCTCCACTTCTCTCTAGCTTGCTTGCTGGGCACTACTCTCTGAATTCCCCTTTTGTTTTCTGTTACTATTTCCACTTCCTTTCTGCTGTCCTTTGCAGTATAAACGTGTCAGTTTACAGCAACAGTCACAGTATTCCTGAAAGTGAATCACAGTGGTAATAAATGTGAGTTTTGAATCAGGGTGGGGAGATAGTTAATACTGGAATGCCAGGAAATGTAAAGCTAACCAGTAGGCATAATTCTTTTGTATCTCTTTGACTACAGCTCCCACAATTCATCAGGAATTCACCCAGCCAGAATTCTGGGAGTTACAGCCAAGAAGTCCAGCTCCTCAGAGGAGAGTCAGTACTTATATCTGCACTCAATAAGTCTGACTCTGGAGACTTAACTGCTTGAAGGAGAAATAAATGGGTGGGAACAGCAAAGCCCAATGGCATCCACAAGGGATTAGGGGACTACAAATTTTTGAGAGGTAGCTTTAATGATTGGGCAGAAAGAGCACCAGTCCCCTTACCCCTTGCAGCTCCCATGGAGCTTAGCACCTGCCCCGATTTCCTATATCTTTTTCACAGGAAAAAAATGGCTGACAGGGCTGTCATCCCTTAGGTGTAAGTAATGGAAAAATCCTGTGATAACTTTAATTTCTCAGCTAAAGTCACCAAAATTCTGGTTGGGAAACTTCCTTGAAAACTATGGGGACTAAAGTCCAAGAAACCTGACAGTCCCTCCCCGAATGATTGACAGAAATCTAGCTTGTTCTGACAAGTGAACAGCTAATAATCCACCAATCATTTTGCAGTCACAATAATGTGAGCTCAGGGTTTGCTTTTGACTTATGAGCTTTAACTGTGGGTTGGTGTGAAATCCAAAGTGGCTTCTTTTCTTAGCACTCCATCTTGAAATGAGAGCCAATAAAAGAGTTCGTAAGAAAAACACAAACCTCCAATGAAGAAAATATCATAGTTTGTTTTATCATTTATTGTACAATTCACTGATTAAACAAGTTATGGTGAATACAAACTATGGCTTGTTGTGACAAGTAAATGCACTCTTAATGTAGCATCACAGTAACAATATATGACAATTTCTGAACAACCAGGACAGAGCTGATACTGTATTGAACTGAGCAAGGCCAGAATTTCCCAGAACTTCAAACACAAAGAACAGCATTTCTCACCCAAATTAGAAAGCCTGCTACACTGAACATCAATTTTAAAAATCCAAAATCTCATAAGTACCCCCACTGCTAGTTTATAAACAGGCTCTAAAATGTCTCTGACTGGGTTAAAATAAAAAATGCCACATACTAACTTTGACATATTAAACAGGCATTTAAAAATAGAACCAAGTGAGCCAACGTAGTTTGTCCTACTTTTGTCAGAAAAACACAAATGAGCAAAACATGTCAAAATTTGAGTGGAAAATACAAGTGTGATGTTTAATTTATAACTGTTACAGAAATAAAAACTCACTTTTAGAAAGAGAGAGATTAAAGCAATCTACTTGAAAGCAAAAGAACCCAGTTGGAAAGACACCAGCATGCAATCCAAAAACACAGCTGAAAAGAAACTGAATTTTAGAGGTCTCTATCTTTCATTCATCACATGGGTAAAAGTGTCAGAAATCCAAGACTGCTGAGAGTCCTCGGGGTGGGCACATGTAATGATTAAACATGTACTGTACTGGAAACCATCCAAAGCAAGAAGCTTCTATCTACTTCATAGCAAGAGGTGCTTCCCAGCTGTGGAAAGAAAAATTATATTTCAACTCAGCATATAAATTTTTTAACTAATTTCACTTTCTACTGCCCCACATATAGCACACATACCTACTTCTGCAGGGCTAGTAGATATGGGAAGTTTAATCTCTTGACTACATGCAGAAAGCCCCGGGTTGCTTCTGTAACTTTCTGAGCTACTTTAAGACTTAGTACCCTATCTAATTGTAAAATTAATGGATTCCTTACCACCTGTAAGCACTCTTGCATTATAGTTCAACAGTCAGCAGCTACCTTAGACTTTAAGCTCCAACCTTGTTAAACATTCCAATTAATTTTTTTTCAAAAATACTCAGGAATACAAACAAGATGAAAAAAGTTTCAATGTCAAAAGAATTATCAGGAGAAAGGATCTGATGAAACTATGATTAAAAGATTATTTTTAAAAAACAGCAGTTCCTGTTCTTGGGGCCCACTCTACCCTTTTATAGGGAAGACATGGAGAAAGTCCTTCATAAATGCAATTCTTAAGACATTTCCAAACCACTGAGAAGCTTTTACTTTAAAGACACGCATATTTAAAAAGGGGACTTGAAAGAAATGTGTTACCAGTCCTGAATTATACGCCTTAATCTGTTAGATGCAGTCAGCATTTTGAACCATAGAAGTTTCTGAAATGTCTTTAAAGTCAGGCCCCACAAATTACATTAATCCAATTTGGAAATGGGGCATGGAAAACTCAAGAATACAGCCAGTGCACTGGCTGATGAATAGCACCCCAGCCGCTACCACTACAAACAGTAACAGGGCTGGATCTAGGAGCAGAACCCCAGCTGCAAACGTGTTTGTTTTTTAAACAACACAACCCTCTCCAAAATAAGCTGAACAATGCTCTGAGAGATCCCTATATCTCCTAAACCAGTTCCCAAATGATGCTAGCCAAATGTGCTGGACTAATCTCCATGATTCTCAGCCAGAATAATCCTGCTGCCTAGAGCTGATGAGAATAGTGATAGAACACACCTAACCAGTGCCACGTTGGGAAAGGTTGTACTAAACAACAGTAGTTCCAGGTGTACTACAAGAAGCTTCAGCTCTTTCACATGTAGCCTCTTCAAAATTGACTCAGATACTAATTCAGAACTTCTATTGCCTCCCTTGGCCTTTAAGACAGAAATGAGAGATAAAGCTGGTATTGCTTGATTATATACTAGCTTAGATCTCCAAAGGTAGTTTCATGTAGAAGTCTGAATAGCATGGGATGTAAGATGGAAGCTCCTGGCATCCCATTTGCCAAAGACGACAGACTGGAACTATGACCCCCCACAACCATCTTGAGATCTACAAATTGGTCAAAAAACAAGGAAGACATAAGCAATCCCATCTCAGTCTTTCTCTGAAAACTGAAAATGATGTTCATGCATGAAGACACTGTATTTTTCTACTAATTTACACTTTAAAAAACTTATCCTGATTACTTACCTGGATTTGGAGGCTCTCCATGAGGATCAAAATCAAGCTATGTTAAGTCAACATATAATGAGCAGTCCGTCATGTATATGGGATAAAACCTAATGCCACTTTTGCAGCAGGAGTGGCATAAGCATGGTGGCAAAAAGCAAAAATGGTATATCATTGGCATTTATCACTGCTTGGCAAGAGAGGGAATAACAGATTGCATGGCTGGTCCTCCAACAACTTCCAAGGTCATCTTATTATGTGTGACCAAATTAATGTCACTTCTGCTTTTAACACAATGCCCATCATCCGACAGTGGGATCTATTTTCCTCTGTTCTCAGTCCCTATGCCTGATGAAAACCAACATGACATCAAAGGTACAGTGCAACTTAACAGCAAAATACTCAAAAGTGCATTCAAGGTCTCCCTTGCCTTCCTTATCCTTCTCTCTAAAAGCAACAATCCAACAACACAGAAGACGTGAAAGCAATTTCCTGCACATAAACAGGCTTTATAATGTGTATTTTAAAAAAAAACATTAAGAATTTTTTCTGGCCATTATTTGTAATTTTCACTGTACAGCAAATGTAGCAAAATCCCCATAAGCACAGGAATATAAACAGAACCCAATATTTCAAAGTAATAAAATACAGTTACATATATCTAAGACTTGCAGAAAGAAAATAAAATTATTACACAAAAACATGTTTTCGGTTATTTACTATCTATGCTACTATCAGCACAACATAAAGACATCGATCAGAAACAATGAAATGTGCCAATGAAATGTGCAGTTTTTACTGCCCACTTTCAGACACATGTGATCCCTCAGCCAGTCATGACAGTCATCCTATGAAAGCAGATGCTGATGTAGTAAGATCATCTTGTGATAATAATCAGCCAGTCATGACAGTCATCATATGAAAGTAGATGATGTAGTAAGATCATCTTGTGATAATAATCATAAAATTATTTTTTTAAAGAAACAAAGTGTAAAAGAAGACTGTAGAAGACTGAGGGGAGATAAGATGGCACTCCTCAAATACTTAAAAGATTGTCCTATAGAAAAGGAGCAGGATCTGTTCTCAAATCAACAGAGTACGCAACATGTAATAATGGGCTCAAGTTACAGAAAGCCAGATTTCCGCTGAATACCAGGAAAGACTTCCCAACTTTTACAGCTATATGACAATGGAACCAATTACCTCCAAGGCTGGAGCCATTCAAGAGAAAATCAGACAATCATCTGTCGGATATACTTTGATTTGGATTTCTGGTATGACAACGGAACCAATTACCTCCAAGGCTGGAGCCGTTCAAGAGAAAATCAGACAATCATCAGACAATCATCTGCCAGATAAACTTTGATTTAGATTCCTGCATTGAGCAGGTGGTTAGACTTGATGGCCTTGTAGGCCCCTTCCAACTCCATTATTCTATGGTTTTATGAACCTGTAAAACTATTAAGTAGGTACTGCTTTCTAGTATTAATTTTAATAGCACTCTGGATTTTTATCAGTTTCTTAATCAAAGTCTGTTCAGCATGTTGACTTCTTAAATCCTAACTTCTGAACACCAGAAAGTACGTTTTATTGTTTTATGTTATCTCTCGTTCTCCTTAAAAAAAGTTAACCACATCCCCTTTGGTTAAACAAGCTGACCTAATTAAATTTCTTTAATCATGATCTTTCAAAGTTAATGTTGGGGACTTTACCAGTAATTTGCAAAATTACCTTCAGCAAATTATTTTCACCTGACAACAGGATAAATCCATGCTAACAACCTAGATTCCCTTTCTCTCCCAAATTCTCCATTTGAATTAATGATTACTGAGCCAGAGAGACCATTTGAAGGTGCCAGATGCGAGGTAAAGTCCTTACAAGAAACACATAATGCAAAATTATGGCTCTCACCTCAATATTCAAACATCTAAAAAGGTCATTACAGCAGGGCTCTATCTATTAAATACCTCTGGAGTACTGGAGAAAAGCTTCACGGGGATATAGTACTTTTTGAAACTCTGCAGGGCAGAGAATCCCTATTGCATCATTATCCCACACCCAGGTGAAGGGCTCGGGAAGAGAAAGCCAGATTGATCCTTTTCAGAAAACTGGTATAACACCACACCCAGAAAAAAATGGAAGCTAAACCCAGTAACGAATACGGGGAACATATATTTTATATCTTTCTTTAGAACCTTTAATGAGTATTGTTATGTTTCCTCAAGGGAGAATTAACCAATAGCGACCCGAATAGGTTTTTCAAGGTAAAATGAGGTGATTTGTCAGTTCCACCATCCCTTCCAGCAAAGTTTCCATGGCAGAACCAGAGAATTAATTAAACTCAGCTCTCCGCTACGCCAGGTAGCCCCTTTTCTGGTTACACCTTATTATTTATCGTAGGCTACCGTCCCGGCACAACAGACTCTCTCTCTCTCACGGCACTTTGTGGAAAGCTTTTGTTCGCCATTTGGCAAAGAGCTGGTCATCCCCAGCTCTCTCTCTCTCTCTCTCTTCCACCGTCCCCACCTCGCTTAAGTTAAACTCTCAAAAACAAGGCGCTGAAGTTCAACGACAGGGAAAAAGAGAGAGAGAGAGAGGTGGGCAGAAGGCGGCGACCTGGGCATCCCTTTCCCGCAGGAAGGACACTCGGGAACTTTTGCTGCTTGCCTTCCAAAGAACTTCAGGCGAGCCCTGAGAGGGAGCAGCCGGGGAGAAGGACCGGATCCTGCTACTACCTTCCTGCCCAAAGGTGGGGTTGGGGGGGTGTCGGTGGGTGGGAAGGCAAGAAGACGGACCGCTTCGCCGTCCTCGTCTCTCTCTCTCCCTCTCTCTCTCTCCCCGCGTCCGCGACTTCACTCACATGTGGGGGTTGCGCTTGAAGGCGTTGTTGATGTCCTTCACCACCCGCTGGACCAGCACCGCCACCTCCTCCAGGGACTCAGCCATCTTCCACTCCCGCCGCCGCCGCCCGCCGCCGCTTGCAACTGGCGGTAGCGGCGGCGCTGTCGTCGTCGTCGTCGTCGTCTCGCACAGGCAGGCCGGGGAAAGCAAAGCGCATCCGGGTCAGCGGCCCCCACAGGGCGGAGCGCGGGCTGCAGCAGCGAACCGAATACTGTATAACCTGGCCGAGTGGAGGGGAGAGCGAGAGCCGCCTCCTCTTTATCTCTCTCTCTCTCTTTCTCTCTCTCTCCTCGGTCCGGGGCCCTGCGAGGTTAGAGCGGGAAAAGGGAAAGGAGGGGGGGGGGTCCAGTTCGGGCTTCAGAAATCCGGCTTGGTGTTACTTAAGACAGGCAGCCGGAAAGCTTTGGTTCTGTCTCTGGCTTTTTTTTGTTTGTTTGTTTCACCTTGTTTACCCTCTTACATAATCCAAGTAGTATATACTATTAACTTGTCTATCCTCTGTGGTGGAGCCCTTGTTTTGTGAATACACCAGACAAAATGAGCTCCAGGAGGGGAAAAATGTAAAAGTTCCACGTTAGACACAGAAGACCTCAGAGGCACAAAAAAATAAAAATAGCTGGGTGACAGGCTGGTGTGGCGGTAGTGCAAGTGGAAAAGGATATAGGGGTCTTGGTAGATTGCAAGCTAAACAGGAGTTAACCATGGGATGCTGCAGCAAAAAAAAGTGCGTGCAATACTAGGCTGTATCCACAAAAGTATCATGTCTAGATTAAGAGAAGTTTTAGTACTGGTCTATTCTACCTTGGTCGCAGCTCACCTGAAAAAATGTATCCAATTGTGGGCATCAGTGTTTAAGAAGATTATAGGAGCCTTGAAACATGCGCAAAAGGAGAGTGATACTAGGATGGTATCTTTATTAGTTGAGGGAAATAGTTGTCTATAAAGTTTGTAGTTGAGGGAACTAAGCGGTCTTCTCCAGGACAAAATACTGTATTCATTTCAAGTTGGAAGGTCTGAACCATGAAATCTTCCCCAAAACACCTATATTTATATTTAGGCCTTTTTAGGGAAGATGTTTATGGTTCAGACTTACTTGACATAGGTATGTTTATCCCGGAGAAAGTAAGACAGAGGTTATGTTGTAACCATCTTTGAGCATGAGCTGTCACAAAATAATGTACCCCAAATAATTTATTCAAATTACGAGAAAGGAGATTTCACCTAAACATTAGGGTAAACTTGTTGGCAAGTTGTGTTAGACAATCGAATGGACTGTCTCAAAGGGTAATCGATTCTCCTTCAGTTGAGGTGCTTACAGAGAAGTTAGAATGTCCACTTTCCAAGATTCTTAGCTGTAAATTTCCTGCTTTGTCAGTAGGTTGGACTCAACAACCCTCAAAGTCTCTTCTAGCTTTACAGTCACGTTCGCTGAAACACCTTTTAAGAAAAAATAAGATGAAATAAGGAAAAGAACACAGCCTCCAGTCTCAGTGAGGACAGAACATGTTTAGTAACTCTGGCATTTAATGTGGCAACTTAAAAGAAAGAAAAAACACAGCACTTTGGAAGAGAGAATAGGCTGTGTCAGAGAAAGAACTGTTTCTAGCAGGAACACTGAATAGGAAGGACCACATTTGACAGAAGAAAAAGTACATTGCAATATTATATTTGCAGGTCTCCTTGTTCCTTCTAATAGCAGTCTTAAGGCACTCCATTATTAAACATTTCAAAAAGAAATGAGGTCATTCAGAAATAAGGTAGCCATTCCTTCATATAGAAAGGGTGCATAGCTCGTCTTCCTCTCTTCTTGCTGCTTTCAATTTTTCCTGGTATTATTGTCTTTTCGGACAGTCATGTCTTCTCATGATGTTCATGATGAACCCAAAGTACAATAACTTTGTGTTAATAATTTTTGCTTCTAGTAGCCATTTTCTGGCAGTCAGTGGCATCCATAATGGTCGCTTCCAACACCACATATTGAATGAATTGAATTTTTTCATATACTGTAATCTTTAATCACTTTCAAGCTATCATGTCCCCACAGAGCAACTGGGACTACCATAATATAAACAATCTTGGCCATTATCTTCTGTGGCCCATCCTTATATATGTTGCCTTTCCATGTCTGTCTTTTGATCTATTGACTGCAATCTCCCTTTGGACTGGTGACTGAACCAAGGTATAGAAAATCTTTGACTATCCCAATTTCTATATTATCAACATTAAAGTTTTATAATTGTTCTGTAGTCATTATTTTTATACTTCTTAATATTCAACTGTAATCCTGTTTTTGCATTTTGCATTTTCTTCTTTGATCATTTTCAATCCTCATTTGAAGTCAATGCTTTTTTCCTGCCAGAAGTATTATGTTGTCATCTTAAATCACTGGTCTTCCAATGTTTGCTCCTCCTTCATCTGAATCTAATACAGTTTATATGATATGTTTTGCCAATAGACTGAACAGATAGAGAGGTAAGATACACCTTTATCTGACACACTTGTCAGTAGGAAACCATTCTGTTTCTCCATATTTGGTCCTAATAGTTGCTCTTATTCAGAATATGGGTTACACATCAGGAATTTCTGCTGAAATTCTTTGGTAAATATGTGTATTTGCAATATGCTCTCTAATGACTCTTCCTTTTCTGAATCCAGTTTGAATATTTGGTATTTCTTGTCACATATATAACAAAAAATTGTTAGAACATCTTTGATTGCATGAGAAATTAATGCTATGGTGCTACATTTACTTTGCTTTTGGTTTCTGCTTTCTTTGCAGTGACTAACTGAATGGGGCTTAATAACTCAGCAATATTTAAGCCCATTCTCTGTAAACACATATTCCACTAAGTCTACTCTGTTTGAAACTAATAACTGAATTTAACTAATAGATTCATAGAATAATGGAGTTGGAAGGAGCCTATAAGGCCATCGAACCCAACCCTCTACTCAGTGCAGGAATCCAAATCAAGTATCTCTCAGATGATTATCTAATTTACACTTCAGTGCCTCCAGCGTTAAGCATTAATTATCTCCTGAGGTAACTGATTCCATTGTCGTACTGCTCTGACAATCAAGACGTTTTTCCTGATACAGTATTCAACCGAAATCTGGCTTCTTATAACTTGAGCCCATTATTACTTGTTCTGTACTCTGGGATGACTGTGTTGCACTGTACCTATGATGTCACTTTGGTTTTCATCAGGCATTGGCACTGAAAACAAAGGGAAAATAGATCTCAGTGTAAGATAATGAGCATTGTGTTAAAAGCAGAAGTGACATTAATTTGGTCACATACAATAAGATGACATTGGAAGTTGTTGGAGGACCAGCCTGACTGAAAATATCCCATTCCAGTCCCCTTTAGTTCATTGAAATGAAGTACTGCAATGTTTAAATTTTAATTTCTTGCTTTACAGTTTCCAGTTTGCCTTGATTCATATGTCTTGTGTTCCATATTCCAGTTATATGTGTTGTGCATCATTGGACCTTCTTTTAATGTATGTGCACATCAGCCACTAGACATCCTTTTGACTTCAATCTAGTTGTATCGTTAGTGACAGTGCTTTTTGTACTTTTCCTTTGCTCTTCCCCAGTAGCTGACTGGGTGTTTTCCAACCTGGGAGTTCCAGCAGTATCTCTTGTTTCATTTTGGACTGTCTCATCATAGGGTAAGAAAGGTTCAACAGTGATTTATCACTGACTTTTTCTGCAGGGCACTAACAAAACTTATGTTGAGTGTCACTGCTGTTGTCTGTGAAATAAGTTCCTCCTTTGTCCTTCAGCCACTGCTGCCGCTCAGTAGCTGGCCTCTAGAGGTTTCTCCACCCCATCATCATTGCAACTATCCATTCTCTTCTGCTGATGCAGCTGTTACTCCTGAAGAGGGTGGATGCATCTTAGTCTGGTATCTCAGCTGTGAACATTCACAGCTGACCCTGCTAGGAGTCCAGGCTCATAATGGAGTCTAGCCTCCTGACAGCATTGCTCTCCGCTTCTCTGATTCACGTAAACCCCCTTACCACATTAAAGTGTGTGTTCCAGAAGAGATTCTATTTGGCTTCTGTGAGGCTGTCAGTAAGAGCAAGGCCCCTCTCATTGGAGTGCCGTCCCTCCCGCTCTCTGCTGACAAGGAGGTGCAAACACCTCCCATTCCCCCTCCCAGGAAGATTAGACCAACTGAGCAAAGCCTGGGGAGCGTGGAGGAGAAATTGAGAGGAGTGTCCATTGGAGAAGGCGGGAATATTTTGGCGGGAAAAGAACAACAGCCCCGGGTAGAAGTAGAGGTGGGGCTGGGGTATATAAAGAGGGGGAAGGACAGCTTGTCTCATGGTTGGGAGTGAATATGACTAGAGGACCCATGGACTGGGAAGGTGGAGAAGCTGAGGGTCCCAAGAGAAGAGGCAGATGCCCGGAGAAGAAGTGAGCTTGCACCTAAGCCCTCTTATTCGGGGGAGTGTCAGATGAAGGAGTGGAGGAACAAGTTGAGGGAGGAAAAAGAAGGTTGAGAGGGAAAGGAGAGATTGGAATGGCTGATCAGGCAGCAGCAGCAGAGAGGTCCTTCGGGAGACTTTGGCCGGAGAATGCCTCCTCCTGAGACCCAATCTGGACAGATGACCGGGACGAAGACACAGTCCCCCTATTGGAGGGGGAGAATGGACAATTATTAAATGCAGACTGTACCCTGGACTGGCCGGGTCCCTAGAATACCCAGGAGACTAATCTGTTCAAAGTTGAAGATTGGAAGCCCCCTCCTAACCCGTTGTTAGAGGGAGACCATGGTTGGAATACGTTTGTAGATATAGGCTATTTGTTAAATAATCCAATAAATGTGACTCCAATTTCCAAACCAAGGAAGTCTGTCAATTTATTCGAAGAAAAAGTGGAGCCAAGACTCGAACCCTCATAGCTTCTAGTTTCAAGGTGCTTTTGGAGTGACCATTTTATAATCTGCTCTAGAATTTTCCCTGGGATTGATGTCACGCTGAGTGGTCTGTAGTTCCCAGGTTCCTCCTTTTTGCCCTTTTTGAAGATAGCGACCTTAGCCCTCCTCCAGTCATCTAGGATTTAATCCATCATCCTTGATTTCAATAAAAGAATAAAGAGTGATTCTCAGAGCTCTTCAGCCAGTTCCTTCAATACTCTTGAATGCAGTTCCATCCACCTCTGGAGATTTTAATTCTTTCAAAGTAATAAAGTAGCGGTCCCCAACGTTTTAGGGACCGT